TAGTACTTTCAGCTACACTCTTAATACTCCAACTACTACTACTCCTAATACTGCAACTATGACTACTACTCTTACTCCTAATACCACAACTGCTGCTGCTACTACTACTTTTACTACCACTACTACTACAAGTACACCAAGAAGCACAACAAGTGGTTACTTTCTTTTATTGACACTGTTAAATCTACTGCACATATTGACAAAGTGTCAGATTTTTTCTGGCCTTGAAGTTTTAATTGTTTTTAGATGATGTTGATTTTAAAGCTCCTCTGTTGGCACCACATCACACACACCACCTTTAACCATTTATCTTTGACTCCTCAGCACCTGTACCTGCACTAGGAGCTGAAACATCTCATTACAATGTTTTCTTGGCATGTTTTATGGTTTTCTCGCTGTAGATCTCTTTTGTGGACTCAGGTGCACAACTCATGGTGCTTCAGTTGTCAGTCATCAGTTACAGCACAGGCAGAGGCATGTCCAACTATCATGGCCCCCCACTGGAGTACAAACTGCAATTTCGGAGCACTACCTAAAATTATTTCCGCTCTTGAATGCGTCTTTGTGTGCTCTGAGTGACAGAAAGCAAAGCGCGCTGCAAAAGCCTTTAGCGGCTCAATGATTTCTGCATTCCTCACTGTATGGTTTTCACACAGTCTGCCTGGAGGGGGTTCAGTCAGGCTACAGTCAATGTCATAGCCAGGTGCCGCCTTTAAACCTGTGTAACTGATACAATAATAAGATTAACTGGCGAGTAACAAAACACCTTTATCAAAATATTATAAAACTGTTTTACTTGTACTTGAGTAGGGTTTTGAGAAATTTGTGATTAATTAGAGGAGAGATAATATTATTTGTGCCATATCTTACCCAGAGTGGACCTTGCACATGTTTTTGAAGGTAGAGCGTCAGACACTGGGCCTCTAGTGGCATTTTAGCATAAAACTATCTGAATTTATGTGTACTACTAATATTACTATTACTACTGATATGACATACAACTTAGGGCAAGTTAATGGTGAACTAACATCATTATAACATGGTTAAAAGTTTAGTCAACTTTACTCAGTAGTTGCAATGATCAACTCACTGAATATCTACTTTTTTTGAATTGCTACAGTATTTTTATTCATGACTGTTTACCTTTGCCACTAAAATGTATTGCCTTATGCCATCTCTAATTTCATTTGAAAGTATCTGTTGATAAATAAATGCCATGCTTGAGCTCAAAGCCAGTTTCCTCCACCAGCTCCTTAACTTAAGCTTATAATGCAGATGTGTTCTAGAGGTTCTGGACAAACTGCTGAGGGGGACAAATGAAAAATGACTGCTAGTTTGCCTGCCAAAACCATAGCTTTTGTGTGTCAGCGCCATGGTGAAAACGCTGTGATAAATTAGCCGTCTGCCTAAGAACAGTGTTGATGATGTACAGGGAGCGTGTGATTACACAGCAGACTGGCCCAGGGGCTGCTGCACTGTAAATGATACGCTTGAGCTTCGATCAGAGGGTCAGGGAGGGGGGCACGGGACAGGTGGGCACCACTCACACCTTTTGAACTGTGCTGCTATGGAGACAGGGGTGATGTCATGACCCAGGTATGTCGAGCAGGGGAGGCACATTTTTATGAGAAATTTAATCTAGAAATTTAATCTAGAGAGGATTAAGAATACAGAACTATTTGAAATTTTAAGAGGCGATGTAATTATAAAAGTGGTGGGAGCAGCCAAAGTTAAGATACAGTTGCACCATAATGAATGAAAATAAACATCCTCAAAATAACATAAACAGTTGAGTTAAGACAAGTTGAACTTCAGACTACAAATATTAATTCCAGCTTTGATCAAGCTTCCCACACATTTTAAACAAAAATACTTTATTACCACTATTATTCATTCTAAACAATCACCTCACACTTCATCTATCTTACAAAATAGTGGTTACATACAAACAATATTGGTTTACTGTTACCAATACAGCCAGATTAGATTCAAACTTGACTGGTTTACTTGATTACCTTCTTTGTTCATTTAATAGATAAATTAATGATGCATCATGTCATTTCTTTCTACTAAGAGGTCCATCAGCTTACGCCTTTGAAGCTGAAATGGTTTTACACTGATTGGATCGATCGGTTTAATGCCATACTGCAAAACATCCAAGGAGAGAAGCAGGCTGCAGACCTTCTAACAGAAAAGTTATATTAAGTCCTTTTAAATAGTGAGTAAAACGAACATGGTGGTTTTCTCTTTATATTCCACATGTCAGTGCACTGGATCTTAGACTTGCTCCTCAAGCCTGTCTGGGGCATTTGCCCCACGTCTAGCACATAATACATATTTCATCAAAGCCAACATGTGAACCATATTTTCTCACCTAATCCACTCAGCACACCTCTGCTCCCATTGATTAAAGTCAACAGCATATGTTGAGAGACAGAAGGGACTAGAAAAAAACAAAACCTGATGGAGCTTCTGTTTTGACGCTGAGGACTGAGCTCAAAGATGGTGTCAGATCTTAAATGAGATCCAGATTGGAGTCACCACGGATCGCACATCTGCACAAATCAAAGAGCTGTTGTCACTGCGTCAACAATGCAATGACTTCTTCTACTCTCTTGTCACAGGCACAGCAGGGAGCCAAACAGTGGAGGATTTTGTGTTTTGTTTTTTGTTTTTCTCTCAAAATGAAGGTGGGGCCCATGTTTTGTTTGGGTGATTGTGTTGAAAAGAGATTTACAATGATCCTGACTCAGCTGTTCATGTCAGACAGCAATGAATGATGCTGAACACATTGGAAGCATCAGGAATCTGTGAAAAGGCGTTTATAAATAATGATTATCTTCCTCTGGGATTGTCCCAGGCAGAAATGTGTCAGCAAAGACTCATGAATACAACAAAGTTGTCATCAGATTCAGAAACTCCAGATATATTTTTGATGAGGAAACAAGATTATAACATAGATCAGAAAATAAATTAATAAGCGCCCTTTAAAACTTTGTATTTGGGATGAGGTGCAGGTGCAGCTGCTTATGATCTCTAATGGCATGGATGATTTCTTGAATCTCAAGGCAACTTGAGGATAGTAAAATGAATACATTTTATTACATTCACAGATCTGTCAGGTATCATTACGCCTAATCACACCATTTCATCGTTAACCTTAAGTGAGAGTTATTCAATGCCAGACTTCTCTTGTCACATCACATTGAGACATATTTTTAATGCTTGTATTGGGAAAGTAATACCATAAGATGTACTTCATGTTTCCAAAATCAATCCTTGCATTTGCAAAATGATTCAAGGTCTGGCACATAAGACTGAAGACCATAAACTTATAAAAGTGTCTCCACATTTCTCTCTTCACCTTTTCATCTTCAGCGTCAGTCCAAGCACAAATGTCTGATCTCATCTTTAAACTGGCAGAATGGACCCATTATTTCCCTGAAAGTGGATATAAGTCCAGACGTATGCTACTTTGGATGTTAACCAATGCACACTGAAAATAATTTAGGACATTCAAGCTGGTGTGTTTGAAAATGCTACTCAGATGAGGAGCCAATTGGTTGAAAAAGCACTTAGACAAGGGTTAGCTCTGTTGAATGTCCTTGAAGGATACCACTTAAAATCTTATATAAAATATGTATTATATAAAAATGGATAAGAGAAAATTAAAGGAGATTTGTGCAATACCAGTGGTTGTCTTTCTTAGAAAATCTCAAGTAGGTCACTGATAATGTATACTTAAATCTTTCTATTTCAGTGAACTTGGATTACTTGCTTTCAGCGTGGTGTTACAGCCTGCTAGGGCTGAGCTTTTATTAAAGAGTTTTGGATCCATTCCTGGTTCCTGTATTGCTGTTTTGTCTTTGGGCAAGGCATTTCACCCTCCTCCAATGTAGTATTGTATAGATATAAAAACATGTGAATGGAAGACTTGTTCTTACAAAGCTATTTCATATTTTATCTTTAAGTACATGTGCATGTTTGTACCATTTCAATACTTATCTAATACATGGTTACACGTTTTCAGTACCTCTAGTTTGTTATGCTGCAGGGAAAGGTAAACAGCAAATTCTTGTATTTACTGTAACTAAACAAATTCAAATTTATGAGCTTAAAGTTAAAGTTGACATAAACTTGTATTTTTCTTTTGCAGGGAGCTTGGGCCAAAGCCGATGACCCTCACTGACCTTTTGTGCCTTTGATTTGTCAACAAAATCTTGACGAGAGCCACCCAAAACAAACTGGACATCTCAACAGGACAACCTTCAAATGCTGGATCTATTTTACGGCTAATCAGGAGAAAAACATTCCACGCCACAGACTTTTAATAATCAACAAAAAAGACTTCAAGATAAGGCAAAGCAAAACAGAGCACACAATTGGTCAACCTTTTCAGGGTAAATTATAATTCCTCGCATGCACAAAGCAGCAGGAAGCCACCATTCACACAGTTCCTCTTCCCATCACTTAAGAGTTATGATCTCCAAGATAAAGAAACAAGTCTATACGCCTTTAAGAAAAATAAAACTCAGATTGGAGGATTACTAGCCGCAACCCCGAGACAGAAATAGAATTGAGAGGAGGAGAATAAATCGAAAATTGTGCAAGTTAAATTGGCAGGTATCCATGGTTGCTCAGCCTGGGAGAGTTTTGGAACACGTCATTGTGGGAGGTCCCATAGAAAACTAAACTTCTCTGAGCAAACTTCAGCTGACTGTAAGGATTACTGGTGAAGACATGCGCAGAAACCTGGGAGTTTGAAAGAAACATATCCAGAATTCAATATTACAGAGCTACAGAGGAAATTTACACAAAGAGACAGCTGTCAGTCGTTTTTGGACTAAATTATGGTTGAATACATATATAGAGTCCTGGATAGTTAAGTACTTTTTGTCTAGGAAAACACTCCCAGTTAACTTGGAGAGACAAAAGAAGATTCGAAATAACTTCATCAAGAGTACAAGACATTTTGTTGGAACTACTTCTCGTAACTTAAGATGGAGCAGGGACACATAACTTTGGAAAGGGGTGTGAGCTGTCCTGGGCGACTGCGAGAGCCTCTTCAGCCCAAGCAGGACGTCCCGGACCCCGACTGCACAGATGCATCATGGGAACAGACATCTGAATTCAACAAAGACCAGATGAGCCGGAAAACAAGTGAGTGTTTGTTTATAGGGAGTTTTCCGTTGCTTAGTTGGGTAATGAGTTGTTCAAGTTTGCTTATAAATGCCCAATGTTGTGTTGCCTTTGAGCTATGTTTTAGTGTAATCTTTTACTGTCTAAATCAAAGGGCCAGTGACGCAACTTGGTACTTAGAGAAATCAGAATAGCTTTTTGAAATAAGTTATAAAATATGTTATGAAGTATTTTGAACAAATAGCAAATGTTAAAAATCTGACAGGGCTGACAAATTTGAGATTTTCTAAAAAGCATTGCAGTTGGATTTTTAAAAATCTTGTTTCTATCTAAAAAGTAGGATTTTGTTCAGAGACCATGAGCATCTACATTTGAGAGAAGACTGAAATATGAACTGACTAATACAAGAATCCCATGCATTTCAGAACATGTTTCTAGAGGTCTAGGTACAGGTACAAGGTTTTTCTATTAAAAAAAAAAAAGCAGCAGTGGACCTTCAGTTATCTTAAATAATTGTAGCAAATGTGTTTTGATAATGGCACCAACTGAAACTGTGATTTAGAATCAATTGTCATACAGTATATTGTGCATCTATGAGCTAAAGTGAAATAGAGTTGTTTCACATGATCTTATTTCTACATTTTAATCATGAAACTGTAACTTGAGGTGTCCAAAAACTACAGAGCCAGTAGTAACACTGGTTGTGGTTACGCCCCTGCTCAAGACAGTGAGAATCATCTAGACCCATCCTCTGCAGCGCTCTGTCACATGAACATCTGTTTCCATGCTGTAAAGGTACAAGCTTCTCTAACAACTATGGAAATGCAATCATGCATCATTGCTAAAGGGCAGCCACAGCCGCTGACAATCACCGGAGAAACTGGTGGGAACAGCTCATTGGAAACTTATTCGCTTGACTTTCACATCTGTCAACTCCCACGTAAGTCCAGGGAAAGGGCCAGGGTCTGTTAAAATAGAAAACATTAGACAAAACATAGGGGACTTACCGAACAGAAGAGGTAATGTTCACAATATACTTCTGTGCAAAAGTTATACGGTGAAAGACCTTGACCAAGGCACTGGCCTCCACATACTGTGCCCAGATCCAAGCACAAATGCTTCTATATAAGTCTGAGGTATAAGTTATTCCTGCAGAACCAAACAACTATTATATCTGACAATAGTAGCCTTTACAGTTATAAAGTTGGATGTCCACTCTGAACCAGTCCATATTATGATTGTGTTCTTTAGCAAGACTACTATTGATATTTTGCAGCTAATGTTGTCAGCATCTCCCTCTCTCTTTTACTCAAGTTAGACTTTATCTGACCTTCATTTTAACATAATCTGACCATTAAGAGCTGATTTGGTTGGAACTACATTGAGATGATTTGTGCGCTTAGTCTTTTATTCTCTGACACATTAAATTGCAGTCACAAGCTATCTAGCATTAGCCAACAGTTTTAGTTAGTCAAGCTCACCATTCTGTTGAAAATCAAACACCAAAACAGGACCATGAATGCTCATATTGATCACAGGCTCCTGAAATTGTGCCGTTTAAATCCATTTGGTATTTTCTTGAGTTTTCAGATCTTAAAACTTTTTTGCTCACCATGGTAACTGCCAGACATTTCGCCAATAGAGATGCATATAGAACACTCACAGCGCGATGCCACTACAAACTATCAATACCAATCACTGGTAGTCTGGAGTAGAATCACACGCTCTATCCATCCACTATTACCCATGAGGCATTGCACATTAATTTGTTTTCCCAAGCACAACACTAAGGACTGTTGAAAGTTGGACAGAGTAACAATATCAGTCATGTTTTGTTGTTGTTTCTTCTACTGGACTTTCTCTGCCTCATGGGACCCACCAAAAGAGGGTCCCAAAACTGGTGTTAATCCCTGTCTTTCCATATGCCTTCACACTACACCCACGGGGGCTGCTGCTGTCACCAGCTTGCCCCAGAGAAAGATAACATCCGATGGGGTAATCTGACCTTTCATACACAAATACAAGAGCTGGACTCCCACTCAAATCCCCCTACTTTTGTATGTGATTTAGGGGCTGATTTTGGCCTCACGGGGGGAGGAGGGGCAAGGGTGAGGTGGAGAGGGCACATGGTAAATATTCAATGCATGACACTAGACTGACTTAAAGCGGAAACTGCGTCTGACTAAGTGGTGATATATTTGAACACTTCTGTGACTTAGTGTTGGGGGACATAAATTAACAATGCTGATCCAACTAAATGTCAGAAGTCATTATTACTTCTTCAGTTGTGTATATTCTACCTGAGGCTTTAAGTAAGTAGCCAAAAACATCAGGGAAAGTGTGGGAAAATCTTACTTTTTCAGTGTTTTCCAAAACTTGCCATTACTTGAAAATGCTATGCAAACTGCCATGGGTTATTTGGCAATGCATTTTAAACACCTTGTAATTGGGCATGTCAGTGTCTAATGGTACGACATCTTGAGCAGAAATCCACTTTTGCATCCACGTCTAATTTTCATGTATTAAATTTATATTATTTTCCCATTTATACCTTCTCACAAGACAAACCTCTATCTTAAAGAAGAGATATTGTGGGGGTTAATTGGAACAATGATGTGTGGAATACAGAAGTATATAGATTGAATCACAGTATATGAATGAATCAGAGTAAATACAACTTCAAGAGGGTGAATGAGACGGTGAAACTATAACATGATTAAAAGCTCTAAAAAGTCAATTTTGCATAATAGGTCTGCCTCTTTCTTGCATGAGAAAGAATCGGATACAAATTCCAGGATCCGAGTTGTGTTCAAGATACACAACAAAAATCAATCTGAAAATCAATCACTGGTTTTGAGGATTGAGATATTCATCTAAACTGGACATTTAAACTTACTGGGCTTTGTTTGCAAACACAGCCAAAACTATGTGGCAATGATTAGCTACATTAAACAAGCTCTGGCATATGTTCCTGTTGAGTGTGGTGCAGGGACAGGAAATTCCTCTCTTGCCCGTGTATGTAGGAACTTTAGCAGAAGAGGGTTCAAAGACGCAAGAGCAGTGCTAAACACAACTCATTCATATAACCAGACAAAGTGCAAGGTCGAAGGTCAGTAGGGGTCATAACCTATTGGCCTATCTCAACTTTAATCTGCACACACGTTGACTACTCGAGTGACTGCAGCTCCTCTTTCCCACATCAAAGCCTGCTACGTGGGTCAGACACTTAGCCATTAGAGGAGATAAGAAACTCAATTCTTATCATTGATTGTACACCTCTTCACAAGTGTCATAACAAAGTGTGGATTGAGTGCAACTGCCTAAAATGTCAATACTGTTCTTCACTGAAAGTCTCCAGGGGTGGGAGCTATAGGAGACAGTCAAGAGTTTTTCAGTAGCAATCAGACCATGCAGCTGTAAGATTCATGTTGGGGCTTCTAGCAGTGGAAATAGTGCTCAATTTCTGTAATTTTATTTGTTTACCCTTTTGGCTACTCACATTTTTCTTATGAGTAATTGGTCAGATGTTGGTATTGGATGGATTTTCTTTCTACCCAACCAAATACATAAATTCAATCCTGTGTGACTTCCAATACAAAGGCCAGGATAAATCATATGAGTAATAGCCTAACTAACAGTTAATGGGCAGGTTACACTTTAAGTATATTGGATGAATTCTAATTACAGCTTATATAATGCCCAGTGTTCTAATTATTCACTCATCACCTCTAAAGTGTAATTAAAGTTTTGTACATCAAACTAATAAAAATAGTAACTTGCAACATTTGGGTTGTATTTTTCAGGTTTAATTTAATACTTTTTCAGATTTGGCAGCAGTGCATACTTGTAATTGAATACATTTATAGCTATGCAACTTTTACTTGAGTACAAAATTTTCAGCACCTTTTCCGTATGAGTTACTATGTCTTAGACCTTAAAGTAAAAGCAGTCACACACATATATATATATATATATATATATATATATATATATATATATATATATATATATATATATATATATATATATATATAATCATATTAAAGGGCCCAAAATATGCAGTTTTTCAATCCATGTTTTAATGGTCCTCATCACAAACATACCTGGAGTTGTGTTTTGTTTCATTCACACATGTTTATCACACACATTTAGGCTGAGTTCTTCTCTCAAACTGAAAACACTCTGTTCCACCTTGTGATGTCATGTGGTAATAAAGGAAGTGCCCCACTGTGTTTTTAAACACCATACACATTCACTAGAATCGTTTGGATGATTTCAGCCTTGTAATTTCATCTCTACTGAACTAAAGGTAAAAGGTAGATGCTAACTTGAAAACTACCACTTCATGACATCACAAGGAACTGAGGATTTTGACCTTTGGGGATGTAGACAGACTAATAATAAAGGGTTACTTAAACATGTGTGAATGAAACGAAGCACCGCTCCAGGTATGTTTTGAGGAGGTAACCACACATAACATGGCTTAAAGTTCACAAGAGTCAGTTTTGTGTAATATAAACCTTTAAAATCAAATACTTTCACCACTAGAGGCTAGAGCACACCTCCCCTTCGGCCTCCTCCCTCTCCCCTCTCTCTCCTGCTCTGTGGAGACTGGACTTCACCGCAGCGTTTGCAAAAGTAACAGAAACTCGAGCCATGAGCCTGCTTTTAGAGAGGGGTGTGAGGAGAGCAGTGAGACTCAGAACTCTGGTGGAAGTACAACAACTGCACTAAAGGAGCACATATTCTGACGTGGCTAAGGTAAGGCGGATTCTATGGTCTGATCCAGGATTAACTAAACAAATGGAGGAGATTGCTGAATTATTGAAAGACGTTTTAAACTTTAGACCTAAACTTTATTAGTTTTTTAAATATTTAAGTATGTGAAATTTCTTCCAGTGGAACTTGTCAACTTTTACTGAGTGTTCTTCAAAGTGGCATAATTAGTTCCTTGTGGGATCTGTACAGTAAAATAAACAATCTCCTGAACTCATAAAACTTTTTAATACTTTTTTATTATACTAGAAAAAACGTAAACAAGTTTGACTTTTTATTCACTTTTAAAGTAAATTTCATAGAGTAATTTCCTGAAGTCGCTTTCCGACAAAATGCTGATCTTAGTCACTGATGGGGTTTGCACCTGTGTGTAACATAATAGTCACTTTGGCTTGAGCTGCAGCTGATGTTTACAGTCAAGACATTTCATTTCATGGCTCAATGCTCTGCTATATTTGCTCAGGTAACGTAGATTATAAAATAGCTGACCACTGTCCAAAGATGGGCTGACCACCCACCAAACTGTCAACATGAATTCACAATATTGTTTGATATGGCAGAAAGCATAACTTCTTTGATAATATGTAAAGCTGACATAAAAATCCATCCAGGGGTTAGTTAGTTAGTTAGTTAGTCAGTTGGTTTCCTATTTGTGTTAGTAAAGATTTTGATAAATTGCTATTTAAATCTGGCCTAAAAGGTATATATAGGTGCAAAAGACTGTTCAAAATACAAAAATTGGCTCAGATTGCTTGAATTATGCTGATGCTAATGTATTTTGACAAAACAGCTTTAGTGATTTTCTTTATTCTAGACAGCCCAATATAGAGCAGCCTCACTGAAAAAGCTTGCCTTTGAACTTGGGTGGGTTTACTGAAGTGTGCCCTACAAAAGATAATTAAATTACACCAAGGGCAGTTTCCAAGTCTGTAAAAATCAATGACAGATGCATTTTATTTCATTTCAGCAGAGCATGAACTAGCTTTATTTTATAGCTGAACCCAAGCAGAAGAGTATAGGCATGATCAAACCGAGTTGTATCACTGTTCAGATGAGAAATTTTATTGTAACTGACATACGATTACATCAAAGTAACGCAATTCTCCTGATTCACCTCATATTCAATCGAAAAAGTGCCGAGAGGATGAAAAATATGCCCGTGGTTTGCAAAAAGTTTCACAGACTAATATGAAATAGATAAATCGTCTGCCAGATGTGTCAAAAGTGGGAGTTAACATCATCCAAGTGCCAATTTTAGGCTTAAAACCTTTCAGAAAGCAGCTGTACAAAGTTCTGCAAAACTTTAATAAACTTTCTGTGGAGAATAATGCTCATTCTATATTAAGTTCTGCAATGGAAAAGCTGTAGTTTCTAGGCAGAGGTTTTGGGTCGCTCAGATTGAAGTGGAGAGGGAAAACCAAAAGCATGTTGGAAGCTGATGCAGGGAGTTTTCTCAGTGCGGGAGGAATGCTGCTCAGGGAGGGACCGTTGCAGATGGCAAGGGAAATAGCTCTGCTCCTGGAATGAGGCTCTTGAGCTCAGAAAACAAACCAAACTGAATCCACACACACACATACACACACACGCATATCCGATCGCATAAATTCACAACAATCTATGAAAAGTGCACATTCAGTGGATGACAGGGTATTACAGCGTTTATTTGAAAACATCGCCCCACCTATAGTTTGGCCAGGGTGGAATTTGGGCATCAAAAGGTGGAGTGAATGTACAAAAATGTGCTTGCTGTAGAAATATTTAAACTGAACCTGCACTTGGGGCTACAGGTCTATTGTGGCTTTATCACGCAATGTGAGCAGAGCAAACTGAAGATTCACAGTTGATAGTTGGGTATTATATTCTATTGACAATGTTATATTATATTGACAAGGGTTATTATTGTTATCATTTGTTTAAAGGGCCCATAATACACTATTTTCTGATCTGTGATATAATGTTGGTAGTTATTAACTTGCTCACTTGAAAACTACCACTACATGACATCACATGGTGAAACAGCAGTGTGAGCTTTAGAGATGTAGACAGACTAATAATGAAGGATTACTCGAACATGTGTGAATGAAACAACACAAAACTCCAGGTATGTTTATGCTGAGGTAACTTACACGACTTAAAGCTCTGATGAGATAATATAGGACCTTTAAATATTTAATCTGTTGTTTTGTTGTTAGCATCTTTGCCATATCTCTAGAGTCTAATCCCTTTTACACTCATAAAAGTTTGCATTTGTTTTTATAGATGACCAAAATAAAACTCTAATACTACTAGTTAAAGTCTCATGCTCATTTTTCTTTCTGCAAAGCTGTTTTCCCCTTATTATTCTCTAAGGGATTAACAATACAGCAAAGGCAAATCAAAAGCATATGGTCTCTGTACAATTATGTGGCTTTCAAAGAGAATACTTCATCCCAGACTTGTTAAAAGGCATCCAAGTCGTCTGTTTGTACATAAAAGTGATGTGGTGACTAATTAGAAGTTTGGGGAGTTGTCTGTGTACAAAACCTCATGTATTGCCTTGTCAAATGTCTCTGTATTGGCCCTAAAGAAAAGTTAGTTCCTTATTTTTTCAGTAACCACATTGTTTTTGTCTGTGTGCTTCCAGATTTGAGCCGCAGCACAAGCTTGTCGGAGAAAGAGCTGAAAGAGGCTCGTGTCAGAAGTCAAATCATCGCTGCTCAACTAACTGTCCCCTCCAACTCCAGCTCGAGAGGTGTCCAACTCTTCAACCGACGAAGGCAAAGAGTGAACGCATTTACTCAGGAGAGTGGGCGCGGGTCAGGGTCACGCGAGGATAATGTGACACCCAAAATCACTTCTAACAAGCCTACATGGGCCGAGAGAAGCAGTGAGGAGAAGAATTTGAACTTGAAGAATAGCTCCAGTATCTTTTTATCAACCGCGATGTCAAATAGTGATATCATGGAGGAGTCAGGTAAGGATTTCCAGAAAGCAGATGCCTCGGAGGAGTGTGTTATCCAAGAGAGACATTTTCTACCTGTCAAGGACCCAGCAGAAGAAGAAGATAAAATCCACTCGGAGCTAGAGGATATAGTTAAGGCCGAAACTCCCCTTGGAAGTAATAATGCTGATCCGGTTGTGATAGGCTGTGTCGAGGGGGAAGCAGAGATGAATGAGGGCACCGCTACTTGGTCAGTTCCCGCTGGTAAACTTCCTAATGGCTGCCACAGTAGCTCAGGGCCCGAGAGCCAGCCAATGTCCACAAGCAAGCAGATCATCAATCGTACCGCCAGGCCGTTTTTCTCGCCCCCAACCGTGCAGTCTCCGGAGGCGGTTAGCCCTGTCATGGACATCCCACCTGCCCCATCCTACTCTACCCCTCCCCTACCTGCATACTCTGGGTCTTTCTCCCCTCCTCCGCCCGCTCCGTCCTACCCAACACCACCATTACCAGCATTCACAAACCAACCTCCTCATCCCTACTACTCCAGCCCTCCGCCAATGTCTCCCACTTCACCTCCACCACATTTTCAACAATACAATCCTTCACCGCATCATTTTGGTCCCCCGACAGCCCCTAAACCGTCAACCTTCATACCACAGTCCACAGCAGAGAGGAAAACGCCAATACAAATCAAGACAGGGATCTTAGAAGAGGGAGCTGCAAGAAGGGCTAACAGAAAAGCGATGTTCACTTTTAAGGAGAAGCCAATTGTAGCGCCAAATCCAGAGTTGCTTTCAATGGTCAGAGGTGTAGATGCAAAAAAGAAGCTGACCAAATCTATACCTGAACCATCGACGGAGGAAGAGCTGATGGCTTTAGGTGCGGAGGCCTCAAATTTTCTTGCAAAGGAAGAGGTTAAAGAAGAGGAAGCCAAAGCGCCTGAGTGGGCATCTAGTTTAAAAACATCAAGGACAAGACCAAGCAGAGTAGAGCAAAGACCAGAGCAGACACTCACTAATGTGGCGGGGAAGGGGGCTGAGCTATTTGCCAAGCGTCAGTCAAGGATGGAGAAATATGTCGTAGAGAATCAAAGACCAGGGCAGAGGCGATCTCCTTCCCCTACAATGTCCTTGCCTCCATCTTGGGTCTACCCATCTAACATGCCAGGAAGGGTCAAAGCCATTGCTAAGAACTCTGAAATGTCTGCTCAGCTTTCCCAAAACCTAATAGTCCAACAAGCTGCCAAGCAAAAGCCAAAGCCAAAGGTGCCAATACCACAGCAAGCACCACAGCCTGCTCCTCCACCTGCCCCTATTGAGAACGGATGCTCCAAAATAGAAATGGACTTGTCAAGACATAGGCCATACCAACTTGACTCCTCTCTCTTTATCCTCAAACCAGTGCAAGCTGACCCTATGAGCACCCTACCCAGAGGAGCACCACAAGCAAAAACCGTCATGCGTTCCCAATCTCTTCCTAGACAGACTGTCATGCCCAGCAATCCACTTTCTCAGTACAGAAGTCAGTGCATGTCTCCCCCAATGGCAATGAGTCCCACTACAGGATTCCCAGATGGTCAGCAGAGAATCAGCTCTCCGGCTTTCTCCCCAGAGCGGGTGACTTCACCCCGTTCGGTCGTCCAGGCACCGAGACCCACTTTCTCTGCTAAGAAAGCAGGTCTAGAAGGACAGGTGTGGAGGCCATCTTTTTACAGATTTTAAAATGCTTCTGACTGTGAATCTTAAGACACTTTCTTGCTAAAGCCAAACTCTTATGAACTCTTTTCTGCACTTTTTCTGAAACTTTTCCTGTGTGCCTCAACTTTCTGAACTTTCTTCTTTGCAATTTATGAGAGGGAGAAGATAAAACAACAGAGCAGTATTCTAGCCGTAGTTCCCAAACAATGGGTGGGGACACTGAAGTTTGAATTTTGTGAAGCTTTAATGTTTATTGTTTTAATAACACAACAACAACAAAGAAATATACTTGGGTCACACTCAATCAGACCTAGTTGATAACCACTGCCAACACCATGTAGAAGGCTATGTTGTATTTTATGAATTGTAGACAGTGATTTGCTTACCAATTGCACAAAAAAAACACAAGCAGTACTACGTGCCTTGAAGTATTCATGTGTGTTGCCTCATGTTGGTACACTCTACATGCAAAATTAAGTATGTTTTTAAATTATGTATGTTTTTAAATTATGATGAGAGACAACTTCACACTTTTTCCACTTTGTCTTTGCAATTCTGCGGGCATCAGGAAGAGGCTGCTCCACTAAGCACTTTAACAGATGGTCTGGCATCTGCTTTATGATCTGAGGGTTTGGAGTTTAACACTGCACACTGGTATCGAAGCTACAGCAAGAGACACTGAGCTCCTCCTTTATAACTCACTTCTTCTGTTTTCTACTGAAATCTATCACTTCAATAGCAAAATCAATCTGCACAAGCTAATATGCCTTATTAATGAAACAATCTGAACTGAAAGACAGTTGTTTGGTATAACATCTCTCACTGTTATGGTTTCATTTTCTCTGCTCGCCTTGCTAAAATCTTTCACTTTCTGATTAAAAATTCATTCTAACTCTCTTACTGGCCTCCTTTCTTTATTCACTGACTCCTTTTAGTGACTACCCTTATTGTTCTCTACTCCATATTTTTGTCTATCTGGGTTGACTTGCTTTCATGCATACACACATGTGGTAACCAGATAATTTTATGAACACAGCATGTGACATTTAAAGGTAATAAAACATACTCCGGATAGCCATGGCACAGCTTAATTTGCCCTTATTAATAATTACTGCACTGCTCATGAGACCAGGGCTCAGTCTGACTTGCAGTAAAGGGATATTTACCACATGAGCTGATATTGCTGAAGTCTGTTGTTTTATTAGTCTGTTGTTAATTAGCATGTGTATAAGGTGGACAGCAGCCAGCGCTTCTGCCATGTAACATTATAGGCCTGTAAAGGTTAATCACCTCAGGACAGATAGATAACAGTAACAAGAGACAGACATGAGGCCTTAGTGTGCTTCACTGGGGTTTATAAAGAAACTCACACTATGCCCAAGCTCCCTCTTTGATTACGTATGTAGTTTTACTGACTATAAATCTACTAGGCAGTAACTCTAAGCTCTTTTAAGTTGAAAAAAATAGACCCCTTATTGTTTGTTGTTCTTTATTTTGTGAGTTTAATTTAATAAAACCACAGCAGCTACTCTTTGTGACCACTCCAAACTACAGGGAGGCAGACAAAACAGCTGAATAAAAGCTTTAATAATGAAAAAAGAAAACTACTTCTAACCTTTAACTCAACATGCAGCCAAAAGCAACCCCGTAATAAATTGAGTTTATGACATAAATCATTCTTTATCAATGTTTATAAGAGGTATTTATATGTCTCATTCCCTTCTTTTGTCTATTTTGCCTAAAACCAAATTATTATTTTATGTTCTTGCAGCCACTCAAAGAGTCTTCTCTGAATATCCCTTCAAAAGAGTCTCCAACAGTCACCACAGGTCCCAGCCTGACGCGGCGCTTCAGCAGCCCTGCAGACCCCTCCTCGGTTGTCTGGGGTCCAGCCCGGTCCTCTGTCATCTCGCCTGTGTCCACTCCCCGAGGCAGCAGGTGTCAGTCCCCTCTGGAGACTCACAGACCAGCACAAACTCCTACAGGCCCCTCTCCCTGGGGGTCCAGATGTCAGTCCCCATCAAATACACAGGGTCCCACCGGTCCCCCCTTCAGACCCTCTCAAACACCCACATCTCCCTCTCCTCCCCCGTGGGGTTCAAAGTGCCAGTCTCCCATGATGACCCAAACACAAACATCCACGGGCCGGTCAGCTTTCACATCACGACCTTCACAAACAGCCACATCACCGGTGTCACCTCCATGGGCAACCAGGTGCAAGTCCCCAGTGGGCAGTCACAACCCTTCTGCCACTCTATCAGTTTCCAAACCAGCCCACAGCTCTCCTGTGTCTCCTCCTTGGGGCTCGAGGAGTCAGTCCCCTTTGATAAACCACACAGTGTCCACATCCAGGCCGTTTAACACTACAGCCCCCTCTCCCGTTTCTCCCTGGGGCTCCCGCTGCCAGTCTCCAGCCCACTCTCAGAGCAGCCTGTCTTTCTCCAGACCTCTGCACAGATCTGCTGCCTCCTCCCCGGTCCCCATGCCTAAGGACAGCCGCTGCATGTCCCCCACTGTCAGCAATATGGACTCAAAAGCCAACCACCGCCTCTTGGCCAAGAACATTATCAATGCAGCCAAGAGGAAGAACAGTGTTTCTCCTGGAGCACTCAGTGGGCACAGTCTGCCCATCTCACCTGTGGGCACCTCCCATCATGACTCTCACAAACCTCCCATCAGTCCTTTCCACAGCCGCTCCCTGGGAGCACAGTCACCCACCTTCACCAGCCCCCCTCCCACCCCCACACAGGTGTGCTCCCCCGTGCGCCTGTATAACACACGCTCACTCACAGACTCGGATGCCTCAGTGGAGTCTGAGGACTCTGGGCTGCGCTCGCCTGGTCTCTACTACAACTCCCTGCCCCGTGGCTGGGGGGGCAGTCTGAGGGTGAAGAGATCTACTGTGTCCACTGACCTGTGAGACTTCTGTATAAACTGTACTCTGCTTTCATCCAAACGCTGATGACAAGAACAAGCTGATGATGTAATGATGCTGTGGCTTGTATGCTTAAACCAAAGACATTTTAATTGTCAAACTTTCATACCAATGCTGCTTTAACAAACCCCACCGTGCTTGTACATTTTGTCAAATGTTGGTAACTTACATGACTAATGACATATTAATTGGACGAAAGCTAAAAGTAATCTATATTGGATGACAGTGATGCTAAGGAAACTGTATATACTCATGGGACTGTTATCAACAATATTCTTTAAAATATCAAGATCAACACATTCCATTTAGCAAAGCATTGGTATAATGATCTATGCAATACTCATCAAATACAGTGTGTGCTTTATGTTTTGTCATTTACTCAGTGAATGTAAGTTTGATGGACTGATGACAGAGGACATGGAGAGGGAAGTGACCTACCAATTAGTAATAGCACATTGCTAATGCATTTTACAGGAACAAGTAATACTTGTAAAAAGGCATATTGATTGTAATGTTGATATTGGACAATGAAGTTGTGCTGTATGTGTTTGCTGTACTGATAAGTTTGTCATTTGGAAAAGTATGTACTAGATTTAAAAGTATGTTCATGTTTAGAGGAACAGAAGGTACTAACTGTAATAGTGTGAGAGATTCAAGGCTGCAATGAATGTTGAAAGATGTGAATATTATGTTGTTTTGCAGAAAGACTCAAAAGAGTGAAATGTGCTGTATTCAAAATACAGACTTCACTGTCCTGTCTTTTACAGTTTGCACATTTGTTTGTGCCATAACGTGGCTTTAAAAAAAAGCAATAAAAGTCTTTGTGTATATGTTTGTATGTGGTTTGAACAGTATAGATTTCTGTCATAGGACAAGTGTAGACACACATGTTTCTTTGTGCTGAGTGACAGGCACACCTGCTGCTGTGCTGCTCCTTCAGGATCAACCTATCGCTCTCATGGATTGGTTACATCCCGGTTTCCTTTGCACAAAGTGCTGAGGAAGTGCTCTGCCTGTGTCTCATGTGCACTCAAAACATAACACATTTCTGTATACTTTGTCAATAAAAACAGATATTATACTTACTTCACTTTTTTGGTTCTGTTGTACTGTGCGTATATTTTTTCTCACACATGCCATGTTGGAAAAGAAATCTAAGAGCCTAAAGTTATTTCTGCACAGTTAACTAAAAATAGTCTGAAAGAACACCTTATTTCACTCCAGTATGATAAAACACATTCTTGAAACACTATATTATTTCAGTTACAAAGTTCTGGTTTTCAGTTTGCCATGATAATGCAGACATGGTCATATACTTTCATAGTGTTATGTCATAAATATTTTAGAGTAGTTCAAAAGCACATTTTCTTAACAGGGGCACCTCAGGGTCGCACCCAGACTTTTAACACAGACTGCCATCTGTAGGACTTTACACAGAACTTCTACTTTATATTTCCCACCAAGCAAAACAATAATAGCCTTGCACTCTTATTAAGTGATTTATATTTAATTTTAATATGGTGACATAAACTTTTAAAAACTGATTTTCCCTGTCAAACAGTTTTACAGTCCTCTTTAATTTACACTACAAGTTACATGTTATAATTCTGTTTAGGTTGTGGCTTTTTCCTATTTCATTCCTGGTATAGGTTTGCTTTAGACTGGATTTAGGCTCTTTCACTACTTTTTCTTGTTAAAAAGATAGGGAAAAGAAAAATAGATAAAAGTAAATAAAAAAATCACCTGATTTCTCTCATCCTGTATATTCCCTGTTCCTTCTAATGCCCTGAGGGGTCACTACAGAGTTCTGCCAGCCAAATCTGTAAAATTCAAAAGCAGTTTCACCCTCTCTACAATAAAGACAAATCAAGATCAGTAATGAGCAGGCCTATTTTTCTGCTCTGTGCACCATGTATTCAATGTTTTGTCTGTGTGTGTAAACACAGTTGAAGTGAGTGCTTTACCAAAAAATGTCACAAAATTGTTTGTGTGACCAATAAAAAAGATTCTGATTCTGATAGCCAATGTTCAAAGTAAATATTGCTTGTGACAAGTTTGAGAACCACGATAAGCTAAGTATTAAAATGTGTAAAACACTATATGAATATAGGCTATAGATCTGTGCATGGATGAAAGTGTTTAAGGCTTAGAGAGTGTCTGCTCTGTGTGGACTAAATCTGCACTGCAGATGGTGGTTACCTTGTCAATCACAATAAGGTGATGAAATTACACACAGCAGTATGCAACTGGCAACTGCTCATTCTTGGAGGCAACCTTAGGTAACCCTGTTTTTCAAGTGAAAGTCAGTATCACAGGACAGCACATTCAAACCAAAGAGAGATATTATAATTAAGAATTTTGTTTGGCCTTGGAAGACAATCATTTATGTAAATAGACTGTAATTAAGACTAATTTAGTGGCTAAATGATCAATCAAAAAAATTATTATTAAAATAATTGATTTGCTAAATAATTGTTCATTGCGGCCTTGCACCTGCCACCATTATTTAGCTTATGCCTAAATGAGTTTAATATACCGTATTAATATGGTCCAATAATTGTTGTGGTAACTCTGATTCAATAAAATACATTAAACCTACCAACAGTATGTGCACTGGTACATCAAAGCGAAAGGCCAGAGTGCAACAGCAGATGTCGCTGTTGAGATGAATGGAGCCAGTCTCAGTGGTTCCCTTATTTGACAGCAGGGGCTTGTTTTCAGCACAAAACAACAAGGATGAAGGTTTCAAGCGGCGATCCTGGAACAAGAAAAAACAGGGGACGCATATTTAACTGAAAGACCATCGGGTTAACCTTTACCTCGCTGCGGGTGTTGTTAATCTAAGGCAGATCTACACCAATATCGACCAAACTGCAGCTGAATCTGTCTCAAGTGGCTCTCTAGAATTGTTGTTGTTAGCTGCTAATGCTAACCATAGAAGTTACGAGCTAACTGGCCTAGAAGGCTAATGTTTAAGGCTAGTCTAGATTAATGAATTAGCTCCTTATCGGTGTTTGGCTCACCATGTCGCAGGGAGTAAACTTGATGCTGTGTAGCTAATGGAGAGATCCTGCCATAGCTTTAGTTTTTTAGGAACTGCAGCTTTGGCTAAGTTTGTAAAGTACCAACGCTTATAGTCGCCTAGCCAGCGAGTTAGCCCACATCCTTGGAAGAATGAGTAGAAAACATCGTCATTTTAAAGGAGCAGAAGTCAGCTGCTGCGTCAAATACTTCTTATTTGGATTCAACATCATATTTTGGGTGAGTCTGACTTGTTTTTGTCATTTGATCTGGTGTGTTTAGTTTGGGCTAAAAGTCTACATTTCATACATTGTTGCTAAGTGGCATTAACATTCCTGTTCTAAACCATAGCTTTGGTTAGCATCAGTCATAAAATTGCCCCAGTTTTGCTCTGGTTTGATCTGAAGATGTGTCCATGCCATAGATGAATGTATTTTATGTTAATAGATTGAGTCCCTATGTCTGACAGTTGCTTGTATGGGAAAAAAGTAGCATCACCTCACCATCAAATCTCTGAAAATGTAAAATGAACTTAATCAACAAACACATTTATATTGGCACAACCTTTTCAATCAATTTTAAGGCTTGTCAACGTGCGCTGTACATTTCTCTTTGATTGTATGTAAAAGGAAATGCATTGAGACTTGAACCTGACTTGACATTGTCGAGTTTAGACTTGTATTTTATGTTTGCTATCCCAGTGTTGACTATGGCCTGATTTAACATCTGCAAGGATATTGTTTCTGTTTTTTATGCCCATTAAATCAGATAATTGGATTTGACATGTTTTAGTACAGTAATGAATTTGAAGCATTGCCTTTAGACTAAAAGTTTAAGACTTATTCTCCCCTGCTTTTATTTAACTGTGATCATTGTTTCTGTTGAAAAATGGCATGTGTCTGGTCCATATTGTTGTTTTGCCTGCTGTTACGCCACCCTCCACCTTCTTTCTCCTCAGTTTGAAAAGTTCCTCTGTTGAGTCCCCCCCTCCCATCTTCAACGTCTGCCCTCCCCCCTGTGTCACTCCTCTTATAATGCCTATGGGTGAAGGAATGGCGTGTCTACGGGCCCTGCGATGGCTTCCCACACACAAGGATCTGAATACCACCCAGCCCTCCTCTTTTCCAAGCGCCCCTTTCTCTCCTTGCACCGCCATAGTGCTTGGGCTCTGCGGGACTGCATTGTTTGTCTCCCTCACACACCCACAGCGCCACAAAGGGGGGGAGGAGTACGCAGACTTGGGGGGTGTAATTCTCTGTTTTCCACTGGCATATGCTTGTTCTGACACATTCGTCACACATGGGATCCACAAACATTGCTTTGCACTCAAGTCAGGCCAAGTCACATTATTTGCATAGCACAATAGCCCAACCATGTTCCCTTGGATGGCCTCTTTGAGAGAGCATAGAAATCCCTAGAAGTTGAACCCTCAAGCAATTGCAAGCAATTGCATAGCAGAGTTGTGCAGTTAAGGTGCTAGGAAGATATAAGATAAGAGTTTAGTTGGCAGTTGCAGTGGTCTTGTCAGGTTTTCATTTGCCAGTTATATGTTTGTGCCTATCCTAAACCTGTATACCATGTTTATTAATCCCTCTCATTTCTTATCCTTATCCTTCGTATCCAATCGCTTCATAATATTATAACAATTGCTTCAAACTGGTAAGTCAGGGAGGGAGGAAGGGAGGGCATCTGATGTGAAGCCCATATCAAGATCATATTGCTCCATGTTACGCAAGGAGGAAATATTTTTTCTTAGAAAGAAAAAGTAGGGGAAAAATCATGCATGGTTCATATTTCAGTAATAGAAATATTTTTCCACTTCTTTAATGTTTGGTTTGGAAATGAATAAGATCTGGTAATATTTCAAAAGCAATGACTGTGCACCATGTTTAATCATCTGTCTCGAGGCGGAGTAGTTAATGATGACTTTCACTAGAACTCCCTCAAAGAAACACTGAGTCACATATGTAGCTTACTCACTGTTCTCTAACACTTGGTCTAATTTACGGTTATAAGATTAATCACAGTCAAATCGAAATCACACTTTGAATGGACACAATTTGCAAAGACTGCAGGTCATTAAAGGCACACTGTGTAACTTTTGTGGTGAAGGATTATCCAATGGTTTGTCTCCATTTGATATTTATTTGTCTTGAATGTTCCATAGTAGGGCTGGGTATCATTAAGAAGTTGCTGGGTATCATTAAGAAGTTGCTAATACCAGGGCACAATATGATGCATATCTTGATGCACTGACCTTTCGATTTGATTCGATATATTTCAAATTAATTCGATATGGTTCAATGAAAATAAGGGCTAAATCGTGACACTAAAAGTCTTTGTTAAACCACTTCTTGTACGAAGTTAAGATGAAACACAAACATTTTAATCCTCAGAACAGTGAATATGTCAAATGTGTCACATAAACAAGTTTCCTTCTCTGAACAAGCAACAAAACTGTAGCGCTGTAACGGAGTCATTTAGTAAAATAAACCAAAAAAATACTCTTGGCGATATATCGATACAGCAGCCCACGATATTTATACTGTATCATCACATTAAATGATACGATATATCGATATTTCAATAATTTTGCACAGCTCTTTTCCATAGTGTGACATTAAACTTAAATGTTTAAATTGAATACAATTACTCGTGTTTTTACTACTACTCATAAGTTCAACGAAAAATATACATTCATGCTGTAAGCACAGTAACATTTCCACAGATTTGACCTGTAACTAGGCATGGTGGTGTTACTTGCCTGTTACCATGGCAACATAGGCTTAATGTCACACTGTAGGACATCCCAGGTAGAGCAGTAATCTCCATGGAGACAAGCTGGTGGCTGACCTTCCACCACAAAAAAGTTACACAGTGCATCTTTAAGTACCGCCACAAACCACAGAATGTAACATCTTATTCTGCATAAAACTGTAGTTAAGATCTGAATGTTCTGAAATCTATGCAAGCCTTGTGGTAGTTTGTCAGTTCATACAGTAATTTTTTGATGTGTTTAAAATGTGAATTTTGAACAGAATCGTATCATGAAAACAAATCACAAATAATATTGCTTGTCAGAAAAATCTCAATTAGATATTTTCCCCAAATCGTTCAGCCCTAGTCCTAACTGTAGTGGCTAAGCTCTCTCTTAGAACTGAAGAGGTGGTTGTATCTCGCTGGCTGCCTCCTTCAATAATCACAGGCAGATACTTCTACTCTAGTCTGTGTGCGGCAAAACTGGATTTGACAGACAAGCGGCGCTCTGTTAAAATGGAGAGAGATGGGCCTTATTCTCCACCAATCAACCAATTTGTCTTTGCTGTAGTCGACTTGTCAGCCTCCAAAATGTGTCCCAGATTGAGATGGAATGCTCCTAAGACCCTAAATATTGTGTTGAAATAGAGCAGTACAAAGCCCACTGTTCCTAAGTGACTTCACCGGCAGCATTATGGGGCCAGTTCTCACCCTAAAACACCGTGGCAGTAGAATATAGTTGTCAAAAGTATCGAAAATTAGATACTTATCGATAAGAACAATAGTATAGATACTAGATAGTCATTTGAACAGATATTGATATTAAATAGTCACAGGATAAAAATGTATCTTTCTTGAATAGCTTTAGATTGAGCTCATTACATAGATACACCGCTGCTTGGTACTATTAAAGAAAGTACTCTGATTTAATGCTGAAAATTACATTCTGTTGCCTAAATAAATTGTGTGTGTGTGTGTTTTGTTTTGTTTTTTCATTACTGTGGTATCAGAATTTGCATTGAGTATTATAATAGGTCTATTCCTTATGTAAAACGGGACACTACACACACCATATTCTGCACTACAGTAGAATCCACTCATTCTCACATCTACCTCATTAATTACATTTTCTGGCTGAGCAGCTGAAATGTTTGGGCGCCCTGCATGCTGTAATTAAGGGCTTGTTAAGCTGTAAGCAAGTACTGCTCCGGTTGGGTGCAGCGCTGTGTTATTAGCTGGCTTCTTTTAGACATTTGGATCCAAAAATGTGTCAAATAGACAGTGGGACAAATGTTCTCTTGCTGATATAAAAGTTCTGCCTAGATTTGCTAGATCAATCAGCATCTCCTGTGTTGATCCTGCCAATTGCATTGATTTCGTAAAACTATCTAATTGTTATTTTTCTGCCAAGTTTTGTGATTGTGATGAGAATTGCAATTTATATTTTGAATGGTAGGATTCTATTTAAAGTAAAACTTTTGAATGCATCTAAGGGCATTTGAGAGAAGAGTGAAATATGAACAGTTACATATTTTCAATATAAGACAGGATATTTTGTCAGAGGAAATGATAGATGATCATGTCTAATTGCAACACTACCAACTGTGTTTTTTATTTGACTGCTGAATGTCTTGCTTGCCTACCTTGTGTTGTATTTAATTTTCTTTCAGCTTTGCATTTATTTCATTTATTTTCATGTAGTCTGCACTGAAACAGCAAAGAATCATGGTCTATGTAGTTTCCTCTTTTTTTTGTTTTTTTTTTTAGCTGGTGCTGCACCATAACAACGAATTTAAATGAAGAGACTTGTGATATGATATAATGTGTTGGCTCACGATATTATTGTGAGACTTTTGATGATAAAATTTCATGATATTTCAGTTATTGTTACATCCATATTTTTGTCAGCACAATTCAAAAAGTCATACAACTACATATTTATACAAATATGAAATTTCCTGTTATCGTTATCAGCCGACTGTTGTAGTTGGGTTTAACTTTCACTGTTGTTTCCGCCTTTCTTCATAGAGGAGGACACTTTTATTGATACAATAATAACACATTCTCTGCCTCTCTGACACACCCTGAATAAATGCCAGTGTAATTAAGAGCTTGAATACAAAGGCAGACTGCTCCTTTGGGAAAGCCTTTTCCAAATACCACAGCAGAGACAAAAGCAAAATGCGATCCAAGTCCCATTCACGTTTCTGTAAAGATTTAACAGCCAGTCCTCATACAAATGTTTCCTCCTTCCTCTGTCAAAGGAAGGTATTAAAGATTCAGCCAACATTGAGATATATCCACACCCTGCATTAGGGTCCTGAGATTAATTCCAATTTTACACAATGATCAAGCTTACTTTTTGAGTCTTTTAATCCTTCAGTCGCCCAGGTAGTTTCCATATGAGTCCATGGTCGTATACTAGTCTTAGTGATCTCAAGATCATTCTGAAGCTATTCAGGAAATATTTTGTGAATTTCTGT